AGGAGGATTCTCCTGTCTCCACTCCCATGTCACCTTAGGAGTGCTGGAATTAGGTGTATGCCATTGTACCTGGCTTTTAATGAGTGTTATGGCAACAGAACTCAGGTGGTAAGACCTTTACCCACTGAGCAATCTTTCTGATCCAAATGCTACTTATATTGCAAATAGCATACTCAAAATACTGAAACAAAGTAATAACTGTATCAATACTCTTGCTTTAGTAAGTTCACCCTACATTTCAAATCTATACATCACTATCTGCAGTCTGCTTCTCATGAAAGATGACCTCTTAGAACTAAAGGCGCTGGAGGCGATAGCTCATACCTGCAACCCTAACACAGGAACTCTGGCACAGGATCACCAAGACCTCCGTGCCAGCCTGGGCTATATGGTGAGTTACAGGCTATCCTATGCTACAATGTGAGACTATCTCAAAATAATGATAATAGCAAAATAATTAAATTAAAAAGATAAGCCGGGCAGTGGTGGCACACACCTTTAATCCCAGCACTTGGGAGGCAGAGGCAGGCAGATTTCTGGGTTCGAGGCCAGCCTGGTCTACAGAGTGAGTTCCAGGACAGCCAAGACTACACAGAGAAACCCTGTCTCAAAAGCCTGGCCCCAAAAAATAATAATAAAATAAAAAAATAAGGCAGTTAGAAGGGGACATATTGGGGGCTCTCAGGGGAGTTAGGAGAGTTGTTGAGAATGTATATGATCAAAAACATTGCATACACATGTGTCATTCTAAAAGAACACATTTAAAATATTCTTTTTAAAAAGGCTTTTTAAAAAGCAGTCACATCATTCAAGTAAAAATAGCTATGTCTTTTCCATTTGTAACAAAACCACGTAAATGGCCCTAAATAGAAGAGTCACCAAAATTACAGTTCAAGTTTTAAAGTGTAGTCATAAGCCTGAGCGTAACAACTGGTTTTAAAGGTTTTGAAAAACTAGAGTGAGAGAAGTGTACGGCCCACGCCCGTAACCCCAGCACATGAGACGGGAGGAGAAGGTCAAGGTCATCCCAGCTAATGTAGTTAGGCAGAGGATCAGTATAAACTATGAGACCTCGTGTCAGAAGAAGGGGGAGAGAAAGCCTGGGGTGAAGGCTGAGAGGCACTGCTCAGCAGCAGAGTGCTTGCCCAGCACAGGCCTGATCCTCAGAACTGGAGGGCTGAGCACAAAATGGGCTGCTGTCACAGCAACAGAACTTTACATCAAGCCCAGATCTGAATCTAAGTCCTCAAGAAGCCATGCCAAAAAAGGTGAGAAAAACTAATCATGCAGAGCACAGTTCAATCTAATAACCCATCATTACATTTAAAGTATGTTGGACCCCTTATCGTCATCGTCGTCATCATCATTGATATTTTAAAGCTAACCAAGGGGGCTGGAGAGACGGCTCGGCAATTAGGAGCACAGGCGCTCTAGCAGAAGACTTGCAGGGAGGGGTGTTCAAGTTCCAGAGGCACCAAGACTCTAGTTCTAGAAGATCCTCTAAAGGCAGTGCATGCACGTGGTGCACAGACATGCAAGCCAGCCAAACTCCCAGAGCACATTAAATAAACATTGGATAAACAAATATCCAAGAATACATACAAAATTCAGTAATTCGAAAAATTTAACAGGGAAACAAAAGAACAGCTGTGTAGCATTCAAGGACAGACACACAGAGAACAAAAATAAAGACCTAAGAGTTCAAGTACTGGGTTCAAAAGACGACCTCAGACATACATCATAGCACATAACATACAAAGCACTGCTTTAAATTTGAAAGCGCATGGTGTGTGTGAACAGTTCGTCTGACATCTGAGTGCCGGTGCAGATACATACATACCATTTATCACTCCCATTTAATCCTCAGACAGTGGGCTAGAAGGGAGAGCTCAACTGTAACAGAGAGAAAACACGGTTCACTCCAACCCATCAAAATAGCAAGGGAAAACAAGGACTGGACTGCACTGCACTGGACTGGACGCCTAAGCTATGGTACTTAACTCTTCCTCACAGACTTGTCCTCCATATCAGCAAGCCACCTAATGCTGTACAAGAACTGCCATTAGAACCGGCTGGATTGTATCTCTTCTGGTTTTCTTTTTAAAAGAAAGAATATTAGCCGGGCAGTGGTGGCGCACACCTTTAATCCCAGCACTTGGGAGGCAGAGGCAGGCGGATTTCTGAGTTCGAGGCCAGCCTGTTCTACAGAGTGAGTTCCAGGACAGCCAGGGCTACACAGAGAAACCCTGCCTCGAAAAAAAAAAAAAAAAAAAGAATATTGGGTGTTGGGGGGTAGGGAGACCATAAATATGACCAAACTACATTGCATTAAATTTTTTATTGTTGACTCGGAAAGGTCAACATTCCCAGTAATAACCCTCACCATACCTACTGAGGCGTCATCCCACCTTCCACACAGTGGCGGCCAACGCCGCTGAACTCAGAACTGCAATACCACTGCAGAGGCAGGCAGATCCGAGGTCAAGGCCAGTCTGGTCTACGAGTGTGAATTCCAGGACAACCAGGACTACACAGAGAAACCCCGCTTTAAAAAAAGCCAAAACAAAACAAAAACACGAGAAACTTCATCCTACTATCTAGTGGACAAGAGACAGAAAACAGAAAAAACATGGACTTAGCAGGTCATCGATGGCACATCCAAGACTGGACATGTTTAAGTTTGGGATGAGGAGTGTTTTGGTTTGGCTTTTTTGCATATAAGGTCTGTGACCCTGGCCATCCTGGAACTCATCAGAGACCTGGCTGGCCACCTCAGCCTCTAAAATGGTGGGGTAACAACCTGGGCTAAATGACAAAAAAGGGATTATGTATGTATCCTTCCTTCTCCCCACAAACACCTCCTCCTTTAAAAGGTACTGTTAGCATTCAAGCACTGTGGTGTGCACCCATAATAACAGTGCTCAAAGGGCTGAAGGAAGACAGTCACTGAGCTCGGGGCCCTGTTATCTTCTCCAGCCTGAGCAACACAGTAAGACTCTCTTATCTGTTCATCTCAAGAGCAATCTTGTGTTTTTGAGTAGGGAGAAGCAATTAGAAAGAATCTACATGAAGAACCAGATATATCAACCACAAAAATGCACAGTTGGAAGGAACCCGAGATCTGTATACAAAATGATCATTATGCAAATTTACAGAGAAAGACCACAGCCCTGCCCTATTAGCCTCCATACTACAAAACTGGCTGTCTGGGCTTTCTGACTTTATGCTGAGAGTTATGATATCTAAGCAGGCAGCTGGAAAGATTAATTGAGCCATACACCCCAAAAAAATAAGCTTAAAAAAACAGTTAATGGGGGGATGGGATAGGGGGTTTCTGGGTGGGGGAAATGGGGAAAGGGGATTACATCTGAAATGTAAATAAAATATCCAATAAAAAATTTTTAAAAATGGTTAAATAGTTTGGCTCTAAGACAGCATCTTTTATAAGCTTCCCATCGGTGGGGCTTATATTTTAGTAAGGTAGCACAGAATGAAATTAACGAAGGCCAGGGATAAGGGCAATCTTTACAACCTGGTAGCCAATAGCCTCTGACATTTTTGTTCACATTGATTCACTATAACTGGAACTTCTAATGAGACTTTGCATGGAGAAAGAGAACATGATGTATTTAGGGGTCAAAGGACAACTTGGGCACATCTCCCCCCTCCATGTGGGTCTCAGCAGCAGGTGTCATGACTAGCTGAACTATCTTACAAACCCTTCAGGAGAACTTTTAGAACTAGAATTTTAAGTTAAATGTTCTACCCATACTAAACTATTCTACCCACATTGTATTTATGTATCCACTATATTGTGAGGGTTCACCCTGACTGACAGCTCGGTTGGAATGAGCCATCAATCAGTGCCTAGAGTGGCACAGCACACCTCTGGGTGCATCTGTGAACTCTCTTCCAGAGCTGCCAAGTGGGCAGCAAATGACAGGGTAAAGACCTATCCTGCCTGTAGGTGGCGACATCCAAAAGGCCAGAGGACCAGGCAGTCTAGAAGCTCAGAGGACAAGCTCTGAATCAATTCTTTAGTATAAACAATACAAAACAAAAACAAAAAACAGAATAGAAAGGTTCCTAACTGACTTCGGTGCTTAGGCTGTGGCTTAAACACATGAAGCATTCTCAGCAGGTGGCAGGAACACTGAGCAGTAACCCAGCCACTGTCCCTTGGTTTTGGGGTTGTTGGGTTTTTTCTTTTTTTTTGGGGGGGGGGGGGGAGGGTGCAACAAACAGGAAAATGAACACAACAAACTCCGGTAGCAAAATTACAGCAGCAGATCCCAGAAGCAGCGAGGACAAGAGTAAAGGCAGTGTGAAATCATCATGCTCTTGACCTACAGAGGACTAAAGTTAGAAACAGAAAATGGAACAAAAGTAAAAGACAGGAAAGTAGCAAAGCAGATAAAGCCGGTTTAGTAAATGTACTGAAGGAGGGGGGAGGGTGGGATTCAAAGCCCCAGATGTTGGGGCTAGCAAAGCAAGAACTTGCAGGAAAATACAAACTTCACTAGCTAGGGAAGGCGCGCCTGCTTTCTGGGCAGTCAGACAGGTTTTCTATCCTCATTTTACTATTCTGATGTACTACCAAAGGTTAAGAACCCGACAGATAAAATGTTATTTGTCTGCACAAGCAAACTGAGAAAAATAGCAAACATGGGTTGGGGTTGATTCCAATTTGGTTTTTAGACAGAGTTCACCTTGTAGCCCTGGCTGGCCTGCCTCTCTGAGGACTAAAGCATGCACCACTGTGCCAGGCAGATTCCAATCTTCACCAAAACCTTTAAAACATTCCCAGAGAGGTGGGCAGGGCTGCTTTCCCTCCTGCCCCACTTTGAGTGTTTGTCTGTGTACTGTAGACGGGCACACCTGTGTGTTCCCTCGGCCTAGGCCCACCTGCTCAACCACCATAAGACACGGAGAAAGCAGAGCCTCCAGGCAGGTCAAGTGAAAAGGAAAATTACATCAGGGGAAGGAAGCACAAGAATTACCTGCTGGCCTGGTCAGTAAGGTCGGGTAGGAGCTTAGTTTTATCGATCTCGGAGTCCACTGTTCAGCAAATCTTTTGACCCTAAGGACAAAGGAAGGGGGCAGTTATTGTCTTTTCTTTAAATTAAGCATTAGCATCAGTCCCATCTCTCCCCTGGGTGTGAGAAGGCCACCTCGAACACAACCTCCTCTGGGAACCAAACTAGATGCCTTCTTTGCCATAGCAATACTTGTGATTTATTTTTGTTAAAAAGCACAGCATTCACAATGTAGAAGACAGTGGGGTTTATACTGTGCACTACCACTCACTCTGATGCACAAGAGAAAGATCGACCTGACCTCAAACTTACTATTGTAATTTAATTCCTTAGAAATGCAAGTTTAGTTCTAGACAAACCCAATCTGAAAGATACAGAAAGCAACAGCCTTGGCTTCCCAAAACAACCTTTGAAAAGACAGTTTTCTGAAGTGACCTTGTGCAAGAAAATTTCAATTAAATTCTTGCTACACATCTGCTGCATGCCAGGACTGTGTTGGCACATGGCAATATAAAGAATTCATGGACCAGACATGGTGGTGCACACCTTTATTCCCAACACTTGGGAGGCAGAGGAAGGTGGATCTTTTTCAGTTCAAGGCCACCCTGGTCATATAAGGAGGGGAAAAGGTGGAAGGGAGGAGAAAAAGTTGGGGGGAAGAGGGGAAGTGGAGGGAAAGGGAAAAAAGGGGAGGGGAAAGGGAAGGGAGGGAAGGGGAAGGAAAAGGAAAAAACTCACAGGAGGATGGGATAGGTGGCTCAGTAGTTAAGAGCTTATATAAAGCATATCAAATAATATTCATATATTATATCAGAATATTAAAAAACTGAGTTTGTTTCCCAATACCCCCAACGGGCCACCCTCAGCCACCTGTGACTCCTATCTTACATCTCTGGCCTCAGATAGCACGGCACTCACATTCAAATACACATACACAATTTAAAATAATAAAAACATACTATAAAAATAAAAGTCATAGTACCATTATTAGCAGTGGGTAAGCAGAAGCAGATACAAGCAGGCACTAAAATGCTTTCAAACAACAATGCCCTGAAGTGAGCCTCTGATGAGCACCATGCCTATGGACAAGAGGATGGACAGGGAAAGGGGTATAAGCACCACAGAGTGGGCAACCCTGAAGACTACTAAGATGTAAAAGGGCTCTTGGGGGCTCCCAGAGACTGAACCGCCGACCAGGGAATATGCATGGGCTGGACCTAGAACCCCAGCACATGAGTGGCAGATGTGTAACTTGGTCTTCATGCGGGTCCCCCCAACAACTGCAGTGGGGGCTGTCCCTGACTGTGCTGTCAGCCCGATTGTGGATCCTGCTCCTCTAACCGGGCTGCTTTGTCTGGCCTCCGTGGGAGAGGATGTGCCTAGTCCTGCAGTGACTTGATGTGCCAAGGTGAGTTGATACCCATGGGGGGTTGGAGGACTTCCCCTTATCAGAGGGGAAGGGGAATAGAGAAGGGGAGGACTATGTAAGGGAGGACTGGGAGGCGGGGGCTGCAATCAGGATGTAAAATGAATGAATAAATTAATTAATGGGGGAAAGATGTAAAATGAATACAAATTCAAAACTGTTTATCTCTGCCAAAAATAACGAGTGAAATCAGCCAATTTCTGCAAATATTACCTAGATTTACAATCAAAACGCCTGTTAACTCCTCACACTGAGAAGAAAGAAACAGGCGCAGTCACATGGATCTGAAATCCAAAACCTGCAAAGGCCAAGGCAGAAGGTAGTTAGTCCAAGGCCAGCCTGGGCTATGTAGCCAAATCCTCTCAAAAATAAATTATGAGTTGGAGACATAAATCAATGTGAGAGCTTGCCAACACGTACAAAGAAAAAATAGGTTCAATCTCAGGACCCCCCCCCCAAGGCAAACAGGATTAACACAGTTTAGAGAATGTTTTTATTTATTAATGTTGAAGTCAAAGAAGAACTTCCAGATATCTGTTCTCTCTCCTGTGCCATGAGGACCCGGCCCAGCAGCTTATCTGTCTTGACAGCAAGCTCCTCTACCCACTAAGCCAACTCCAATAATACTTATATAATGTCGGCCGTCTAAAAGACAGGATGCATGATGAAATACATGAAGGTAGCTAAAAGTCAAAGTTTTTAGCTCGGCACATCCAGGAAGTGAAGCCATGCATTTTGCTCAAACACAGACTACATGTAGCCTCAGGGGAGACAAAAAGGATTTAAAAAAAAAAACTGTTTTAAAAAAAAAAACGCTAGGTGTGGAGGCACACACCTTTAATTACAACACCAGGCCAGCCAGTCACACGGTGGGACGCTACCTCAGAAGAGCACAGAGCTGGGGAGCATCGGAGCAACAAGAAAAAAAAGAGACCACCGAATCCTAGTGGCAGAGCGGTCTATGAACTGGCCTCACCTCTTTGCTGAGGTTAAGTTAGTAAGGACCTAGTTACAGAAAGGAACCAGGCTTGTCAGCACGCTGCCTGCAGCTGCTTGCTCTACAGCTCCTCCCTCTCCCTGTCTCTCCGTCTCCCTCTGCCTCACCCACTCTCTCCCTCTCTGAAAAGCTGCGTACAGCCCTGCAGGATCACACAAAATAAATAGGGGGTGGGAGTGGGGGTGGGAGGTGAGCAGGCTCCACCAGTAGAAGGCTTTCCACAGGAACTGCTACAGGGTCAAAAGTTTACAGTGGTTTCAATTTCACCTTTTAGCAGCCAATCAGCAAACAGAGACTGTGCTGACCCTCGGGCGGCAGGAGCATTAACTCCCTGGCTACCAGGACTGCTGCTGCTGCTGTTCCTCCCGGGCTTCTCTTAAGAAGGAAAGGTAAAAAAAAAGGCAGCGGACACCCTAAGTTCAGGTGACTAATTTATTTTAAACTGCTGTTTGAGCAGAAAAATGATTTGATAATTATCCCTTTTCTCCTTCAAGTCAGGGTTTCTTAATCTTAGAGCATCTAACAAACCAACCGATAATGATATAAAGACAAAGAAATAATCAGGGTAGGTTAAGAAAAGTTTTTCTTCCATGAGGCTTCAAATTCTACCAACAAATGATAGGCGATGATATCCATTTAGTTCCCTGTAAATGCTTTAAGAAGAAACTCGATAGTGAGGCCCATATAAAGTGTTTAGGCTCTGACTCCCTCAGGTCACTGATACAACTGTAGTATGCCATCCTTCTCAAGAGGAATTTACAGAAATGGGGCTAGAGCTTCTAAGGGGCCATTTGCTTCCCTGTGTTCTCTCCAACCCTCCAGGACCCAGAGCAGCCCTCTGTGAGCAGAACAAACTCAAAAGCAAAGCCTTCTGGCAGAACTGTCCTCCTGATTGCTTTTTATATAAATTTCCTACAAAATGGAAAAAATCAATACACTAACCCATTCACTACCCCCTCTCAGTTTTATACTAACAGTGAGCAGGCAAGATGGAGAGGGCAGGGGAGGCACAACCACAATCCCCAACCCAACCCCCAACTCCGCCCACCCCTAGTTCCCATTCTCCTTCCTCCTCCCCAGGGCAATAAGGAAGCAGAACAAGAACATTGAAGCCCAAGAGCTGGAAGCCAGCATGGCAATTTGGGGTTGTTTCAGTTTTGATTTTCTCTATTTTTTGCTTTTTTTTTTAAGGGGGGTGGTTGTGGGAGGGAGTTTAAGACAATCTCTCTCTATAGCCCCAAATGGTGGGAAAACAGCAGCAATCCTCCTGTCCCAGCTCAAAGTCCTGGGATTATAGGTGTGAGCCACCATTCCTTGAAGCACTCAAGACAAACAGCTGTACAAACTCTATCAAAATGATCTACTAAATCCTAATTTATAGATAAGCCAATTTATATACCAACTGGCTGAATTTTAGCAGTTCTACAAGTTATTTTGAGACCCATACAGGCACCACCATTGGCTATTAAAACTATCCAGGATACGATAGTAGGTTCTATCCAAACCAAGATCATCAAATACCAGCTATTTCTGAAATGCAATTCGTTACCAATATATTATAATGCCTTGCTTGCTACACAATGACCAGAGGCCAGAGTACATCATACTGTCTTCATTACACAGAAACTTGATATACATGTTTCAGACCATGAATAAAATCAATGATATTGTAACTTCAAATTAGAAAAAAAAGTAATACAAATAATTTTCTAATAACTTCCAAACCCACATGATATAAATTTATAACTAGAAGTCTAATTTTAAAATACATTTAGTTTGTTCTTTTAAACATGGCTTACAGAAGTGCATGTGTGCATGCAAGCGCATGTTTAATTGGGAGAATTTTCTCTTTTTACAGGATGGCCTCATTTCACAGGAAAATGGATGCGTCAAAATTTTACATCAAGTCAGCATGTTAGCAAGAATCTTTTTTGTGTGTTCTGAATTTGATTAATACAAGCCAAGGTCACTTCCTGAACAACGCCTACCACTGCAGCTGCAGGCAAAGACTGGCATGGCATGAGGCTGGAAGAAGAGAGAGGGTGAGAGCACTTATTTACTTATGAGCAAGTGGGTTCCATTTCCACACAGAATCTTGGCAAGAAAGGATTGGCAAGACTCTGAGAACCTGGTACATAAAATATTTCTATTTTTTACACAGAAATATTAATTCAATATGCATAATGCTCATGTCAACATTATATCTAAAAGGTCCTTCCTGACAATGTACAAAATCCATTTAATCACTTAAAATGATACAAATAATGCCAGACAGCAAAGTAAACTAAACTAGCAGTTACAAGATGACCAAAACCTATTACAAAGGCCTAAAGGAAGACAAGCTCTTACAGAGCAGGCTCACAGTTCCCTCACCCCAAACCAGGAAAGGCCTAACTCAGAATTAAAATCCAAAAATTTTATTTAGAAAATAATTCATAAAAATTTATCCTGACATGCAATTGAAATTTTACCTCTCAGCATTATGCAAATGTTATGTCTTTTTTAAAAAATCTTTAAAATATACATCAATGGCAAGCAGAACAATCAGTGTCAGCCAGCACAGCTAGGAAACCTAAAACGCACCACACACTCCATCTGTACCACTCTGCACCCACACAGCT